AGCTAAGGCTGATTCTGTTCTTATCTAAGATCTACATAACTTTCCAGGAGGAGTCAAAGGGTAGTGATCGAATTGGATTACCGATTCCCTTGTTTTCTCACTTTTCCTTGTTTGAGACCAACAACATTCAAAATGTTCAACACCACCAGGTCAGAGCAGCTTTCTTAGCTGGTACCCCATCCACCACCTTCACCATTCACTCACTAATAGAACTACGATAGCAATGTGTACCAGGTACAAAATGCACTGCAGCAACTCACCCAAGCTGTGTAGATAGCACCATCCAAACCTCTGACACTTACCATAGAAGTCAAAAGTAGCAGATACATGGAAACACTATTACCTGTCAGTTCCCCTCCAAGCCTCAGACCATCCTGAATTGGAACTACCTTGTCATTTCTTTTGCTGGTTTAAAATTCTGGAACTCTCCTGCTAAAAGCACTGTGGGTTCCTAATACCCCATGGACTGCAACAGTTTGAAAAGGCAGTTTACCACCACTACTACCTCCTTGAGGGCAATTAGGGATAAGCAATAAATGCTGGCCCAGTCAGCAATACCTACAACTTCTGAGGGGAAAAAAAAAGTGAAATCTCATTTAATGCCTGATGTGAGTTTGGCTACTGATGATCAAAAATGAGGGCAATTGTTTTATCTAATAGGCCACTAGTGAACACGTTGCCTTTTAAAACCAATTTGGTATTATAAAGTTCATTTTTTAAATTTTATTGAAAATACACTGCCAACCCAATTGTTTAGAGAAGGAGGGTGTCAGATATGACTGACTCATTTTAGGCATGAGTTTCATACAAATTGTGTCCTTCTGCTGTAATGTTTGACAAACATCAGGCAAGAAAGATTTTTCAAACAGTTTCTAACAAAACCAGTGAGTTGCTTTAATAGATTTCACCTGCCTATTCATGTGATACTATGTTTACCTTCATTAATCTTTTCATAATACAAGCTGGGAGTGTCTTAATTTGAGTATGACTGAGTAGATGACGCCAAAGAGCTAGTGGACTGGGAACTGTCTGAACTAATTCATAGTCCACTGTCGTAATGGTTAAAGCTAACAAGGTAGTTCCCACGTTTGATCACTGTTCTGTGGTCAATGATTGAAGTCAGATTGGTCATGGTGGAGGCCACTTTAGCGTGTCTCTTTAGGGAGAGAGGTGATATTAAGGTTTGCATTATTGATTTTACCTAATGATGTCCATGAAACGATGTGTAATGGTCCAGTGAGGATAATATTTCGGCTTTTTTTTTAATTCTTGGGATGCGGGTAATACTAACTAGGCTAGATTTCTTAAGTCAGAATGTGGCGTGGTGATTCTTTTGCATCGAGGTAATTAAGAGCCAGCTGCATTGTTGACTAGAATCAAGTCTTGCCAGAAAAATACGAGTGATCCAGTTGGGATTTTACAATAATTTGACAACTGTCAAGATAACTCGCAAATTCATAGATTTATTGACTTCAATTTGAAGATTTCCTATGGTAGAATTTGACTTCTTAACCGATTGTTTCCTATTCCAAAATTATAATCATTATCTTATTGTATAGTGGTATACCTGTGGTCTGTGCTATACCTCATAAAATTCAGATTTCAATTGTGAATATTTGAATACAGGGTAATATGTTTAAAGGAAATAATACAGCTCAAATTTGGTGTCCACTCTTCTGTCACTTCCTATCATTGTCATCCCTCCCATTTACTTTGTACATTGCTATGCCAATGTATGAAGTCTATCTACAGTAGGGCGGTCTAATGTACAGTCTGGAGATTAAATCTGATCACCAGTTCTTACAGTTGAGCACACAAAGAGGAAGCAAGTCAATACTGTCGGAAACAAAAACAGAAAATGCTGGACAAACTCGGCAGGTCTGGCAGCATCTGTGGAGAGAGAAACAGGTGAGATTGTTGGCTTGCTCGCTGAGCTGGCTGGTTATTGTACAGACATTTCGTCACCATGCTAGGTAACATCATCAGTGCAGCCTCCGATGAAGCGATTTTGTTCTACTCAGACTGGTATTTATATGATCCAGTCTGTTAAGTTTGGTTATGTCATTTCTGGTTCTGTTCTGCATGGGTTTGTATATGGGTTCTAATTCCACATGTTTGTTGATTGCATTAAGGGTTGAAAACCAGGCCCCTAGGAATTCTTGTGCATGTCTGTGATTGACTTGAGCTAAGATGGTCACATTGTCCCAGTTAAATTGATGGCCTTCATTGTCCAAGTGCACTGAGATGAGGGAAAGTTGGTCATGTCATTTTGCTGCTAGCTGGTGTTCATGTATCCTGATGGCTAATTTCTTTCTGGTCTGGCCAATGTAATGTTTGTTGCTGTCATTGCAAGGTATTTTGTAAACTACATTGGTCCTGCATGTTGTGGGTGTGGGGTCTTTGGTCCTTGTCAGTGTTTGTCATAGTGTGACTGTGGGTTTGTGTGCTACCATGATTCCTAGTGGTTGTAGGAGTCTCGTCGTCAGTTCTGATATGTTCTTGATATGAGGTAGTAGGGCCAGTGTATTGGGGTGTACTGTGTCCTCTTGGCATTGTCTATCTAGTAGGCACCTGTGGATGAAGTTGTTGGGATTGTAACTGGGACAACATGACCATCCGTCTCAAGCCAACTACAGACACGCACGGGAATTCCTAGAGGCCTGGTTTTCAATCCATAATGCAATCAACAAACATGCAATTAGACCCCACATACAAACCCATGCAGAACAGAACTGGAAAAGACACAACCCAACTTAACAGACTAGATCACATGAATACCTAGTGGAGTAGAACAATATCACTTCATAGGAGGCTGCACTGATGATGTTACCTAGCATGATGATGAAATGTCTGTACAATAACCAGCCAGCTCGGTGAGCAAGTAACAACCTCATCCACAACCTGAGCTAGAAATCTTTGCAAGAACCTTAAAGAGAGAAATAGAGTTAATGTTTTGAGTCTAATATGACTCTTCTTTAGTATTGGAGAAGATCCAGTTTTGAAGATGTTATACTGGACTTGAAACATTAACTCTGCCTTCTCTCTCCACCAATGCTGCCAGACCTGCTGAGTTTCTCCTACATTCTCCTTTTAATATCCAGAAGTGCTGTTATACACAACTGAACATTTTTTTCCCTATCACCAAATCACCCATCGTATTTTTTTCCTTTATCTGTTAACTACCGCCAGCAGTAAATCACCTATTTCCAATTGAAAAATTTATATGCAAAGCTTGTTAAGGGCATGAGAAAGGTTTAACTTACTAAGAAACCAATCAGTGTGCACTGCTTACAGTAGTGAATGACTCATAGAATCCCTACAGTGTGGAAGCAGATCATTTGGCACACTGAGTCCACACCAACCCTCTGAAGAGCAGCCCGCCCGGACGCACCCACCCAGACAAAACCCCCCCACCCTATTCCTATTTCCCATGGCTAATCCACCTATAGCCTGCACATCCTTGGACACTATGGACAATTTAACATGGCTAACCCACCTAGCCTGCACATCTTTGGACTGTGGGAGGAAACTGGAGCACCCAGTGGAAACCCATGCAGATATGGGAAGATTGTGCAAACTCCACAGAGGGTGAATCCAATCTGGGTCCCTGGCGCTATAAGGCAGCAGTGCTAGCCACTGAGCCACCGTGCCACCCTTCATGATTCAGCGTAGGACTTTTATAGAACTCATTTTCAGTGATTTTAAATTCAGCCACCCTTAGATGAAGTATTGGATACTAATTGCAAATGTTTAGTTTTTGTCAATAAATCAGTTTTCATCTGTAGTTTTACTGTTTCTTGGGATGTGGATAATTGTTGGAAATGCCAGCATTTGCTGCCCATCCCTAATTGTTCTTGAACTGAATGGTTTATGAAGTCATTTCAGAGGGCAGTCAACTGCATTACTGTGGGTCTGGAGTCACATGGAGGCCAGACCAGGTAAGGATGGCGGATTTCCTTCCCTTAAGGACATTAGCGAACCAGATGGGTTTACACCTGATGATAATTTCATGATCACCATCACTGAGAGTACCTTCATATTCCAGATTTATCAATTACTTGAGTTCAAATTCCATGAGCTGCCTTGGTGGGCATTCAAACCCTAGGTTTCCTCAACAGTAGTCTGGACTTCTAATTCAGTGACATTACAACTACACCAACTCTTCTGTATCAGTCAAGCTGGAGCAGAAAGCCACTTTTAAATTGATCAATTAATACTTCTAATGAAAGAAAATAAACACTTGCATCTTATTACACTGCCGTATTGTTTTGGTTCATGGATTAAGTTATTCTTATCAGAAAGATAACCAGCATAATTCTGAGTATATTTTGTATACAACTTCCCAACTGTGTCCAAAACAAATTTTGCTGCACACTGTAAGGATTCAGACTATTGTCTTTTGCTAAGCAATGATTTTGGGATCAGAGATAGTAGGAACTGCAGATGCTCGAAAATCTGAGATAACAAAGTGTAGAGCTGGATGAACACAGCAGGCCAAGCAGCATCATAGGAGCAGGAAGGCTGACGTTTCGGGCCTAGACCCTTCATTTGATGCTGCTTGGCCTGCTGTGTTCATCCAGCTCTACACCTTGTTATCAATATTTTGGGATGTTCTCTTGCCAAAATAAAATATGGAAACTGAATGCTAAAACTAGTTTTCATTGTATTTACAGAGTAACTTCAGTTTTAACAACATCTGTAACGATTCCATGACATATGTTGGAATTTCCGATTTGACTGGTTGCTAATCTTTGTCAGGACAAGCACAGCAAAAGGATCAGGCTTAATTTGCAAAGGACAGGATGAGCAACTTTCTGTCAGTGAGGAAACGTGCTGGTCCAGCAAAGAAATTATTTTTCTAAGATAAGCTTACATAAAGAATATAATCCTCAAAGCTAAGTTAGATGATTTTAAAAATGGATCTTGATACTGTTTACAGGATTTTATTGCTGAATTAAATAAATCAGCCGTCTCCTCCCCCCAATTTGTGAATGGTTGTTAAAGAGTTAAATGATTCACTGACAAAGTAGCCAAAGTGAAAGTCAGACGTATCTGTGCAATGTGGAGGTTTGGAAGCTGTGATCAGACTGCTCTCCAAACAGTGAGCCGGTGAGGAGTTAAACATCATGTTGTCAAAGTGAGACTAGTAACTGATTGTGGTGTTTTTTTTTGTTAGCAAGTGTATCTGAAATGATCGAATTATTGACCATGACGCAGTTTCCAGCCCACACGCTGTAATTTTCTGTTAACTCCGTTTAAAGGGCAGTAGGTGAGGCACTTTTCCTGAGCATGCTCTGTCTTGCCTTCATGATGACACAACTCACACAAGCCTGAGTAAAAACGGACTTGCTCATTTCCTCTTGTTTTATGTTGCAGCTTCGACCAGAAGGAGAGGAAGGGACGGAGGAGGAGACAAAGCGGTGGCCCGGTGAAGCCGCTGCCGAGGGAGACAGACTCGGGGCGGGCTGGGGGACCTTGGTGGAGCCGATCTTTTGTATCCAGCTGTGCTGTACCTCAGCTGGCTGAGACTGTTCAACTATCACTGCCATTATTGACTGAAGCTGCTTTAGTAACACCACACACACACACAGGTCCTAAAGGAAATTTATTGCAGTCACCCCCGAGCACCGGAAAGACAAAAATGCGTTCTGATTCCCCCCATTCCTCAGTTAATGCAACTCCAAATCCCAAATGCCCGGCAAAGAGAAGAAGAATTTCTTTCCAGAGCATATTTAATGGCAAATCCAAAGCAAAGGAGAAGCAGGAAGTATCTGTTGCCAGCATCGAAAGCATCCACATTGAAGTGGCAGAGACTGAAAAGAAACTGCACGCGTCTGACAGCCGGACGACATTAACATCTTCAGATTCAGCAAGGAAGGTTAGAATCTATTTACCATTAAATATGATTAGGCGATAGAATTGAGTAATCTGACCTCAAATCACAGCGTTTTTATAAAGAAAATATATAGTGTAGAATCAATGTTAGTATCGTTTAAGCCGCTATAGTAAAACCAAAATATACGTGGGCATTGGAAACTTTTATGAATTTAGGCTTAGAGTGGCCTAAATGCCACTTTAGTGTTGTCACTGTCTGGCAGGCGGGGTCAGATTATCATTGCAATCCTTTCATAGGCAGATAAAGATTCCCCAGTAATTATTATTTTAATAAAGACAGGATTGTTATTTGTGCCTTCTTAAAGTTTAATAATTATGTACTGACCAATTGCACAATGTAGAGGCTATGAGGCATAATGGTCAAAGTTTATCCAACCCCTTCCCCAAAGGTCATAACAAATAATGACTACAGAATTATGATCATAATATGTTTCTGTCCCTTGCTCAAAGAAAGTTGCATTTCCAGAATAAATTACAGTTAACTTTTATAATGCCTTCAGTAGTTGGGTAGTTTACTGGTGATTTTCTTAAGCTTGGATTACTGTACTGCATGACATACTAACTGCCAATGCCACAAAAGCATGTTTTGTACCTCAATATATACTTTTAATGCGTGAAATTGCAGAGTTAGAAAGACATAACCTCGTTGTAGGTTCTGACTCGATACCTCTGCATACTCATGAAACGTTCTGCTGTAAAGGCTTGGCAATAGGTCGTCATGACTCTCCCATAAGCCAAGGAATCATTCTAGCTTGAGCAACCCGGATCTGGCATTTAAAAAGCACATCACTCAAGCAAGCAGCTTTCAAAGCTAACAAGGTGCAGAACTGGATGAACACAGCAAGCCAAGAAAAGTGTTTGGCAAAACAGTCTGCTGGCATCTAAAATGTCAAATGAGTTTTTCTCATGATATTACGCATTCAAGATTAATGTTCATTCACTTGCCTCTTGGCAAATTTGTTTACAGGTACTTGTTAAATAATTTTAAAAGAAAATGAGTTACGTCATTGTTTTGAGGCAGTTCTTCATCCTCCAAATACTCCAATTACACAAGGCATTCATAATTTCTCTAGGAATGAAATCCTGTCCAGTTCGGCATCTTTTGTGTTATTTGACATTATCATTTTCAAGGATAAGAAGAGGAGCCATTAGGACCCTTTTGAGAAATTAATTCAAACCCTCTGCCTTCTCAATATTACTTCATTCCCTTCTGTTTTCAGAAATACATATGATTTCCTTGACCATTTGTATGTCTGCTTCAAAGGCCAATCTGCTAATATTCATTTATTTTTCTGATTTAGGACTTAACCCTCTCATTTTTCACTTTTAATATTTTGCCCTGTGCCCTTCAAATTTTGATTAATTTTGCCAAGTCACTTGATAAGCCCTAAATCTTCATCTTAGCTAACTTCAAAATTTACAATTCACAGATTTTTCAAAAACTGATCAATTGATTTAGATGTCAAGGAATCTACTATACATTAGTGATTGCATTCCATGTACATCTAACCCAGTTAATGTGTTAGGAATAACCCAAATTCTGTTTATGATGAAGAATTGTCAGGTTTTCTTGAATGCTTTAACATTTTTTAAGAGAATGAATGGAATCATTTTCCTTTTAAAAATATCCAAAAGATCAAAGGATGTTTTCCCGAACTGAAATTCTTGGAAGGGTCCAGACCCGAAATGTCAGCTTTCCTGCTCCTCTGATGCTGCCTGACCTGCTGTGTTCATCCAGCCCTACACCTTGTTATCTGAAGTTCTTGATGACTGGGTTCACTTCTGCTCACATGTCTCCCAAGGCCAGTGATAAACCTGCTAAGATTAAATGGCCAAGACTGCATATGGGAATAGACCCTTTTACAACAAACAGGGATAGACTGAGCCTATCAAAGTAAATTATCTACATGTCCTAAAGGCTCTTTTTTATATCCCTGGGAAAAGTGCATTGATACTGCAGCATTCTGCTCATGGTGCTTTTTAAAACATAATTCAAAGATGCTCTGACAAATATCAGGGGTATTATGTGAGAAGGGAGCAACAAATAATTTGTCTCAAAAATTACCCAAATGATTATTTTGTCCAGACCTGCTGAAGATGATATTGGAAGGCATTTAGTCAAACAACATCACTATCTACATGTTGAAATGGGCTAGGGCCCCAGTGTGTTAACTGGAATGTGCTCATTAAACTGCAGAAGCAGGTTACGAATCCATCTGTGCATACGTTTACACCTGGGATTACCTGAACAGTGGTTTGCTGATCTTTGCTGGGTTACCAGCATGAGCAACAAGGAGAGTTTAGGGACCAGGAAGAGACAGGAGAGTAAGAGGCAATCTGGTCTGCCTGTGTCAGGCATTTAAAGCCTCTTAAACCCAGCAGCAGCAGCATTCTGATATGATCTAGCATCCAATCTGAAATTCTTGTACAAATTGATCAGACTGCTGCATTGCCAACTTAGTCCACTTTTTTTTTGTCCAAGTTTGGGAACACAATCTATAATTATATCTGTTAGGATATGACCACTTGGGTCTTAGCCCTGCTTTGGATTGTCAGAGATCAGGGGACACTGTAGAGCAGAAGGAATAGTGTGAAAATTAATTATCAAAAATAGTGAAACTAACTGAAAATCTATTAAATATAGTTGAGGCTAAATTGAAAGGTGTAATGTATTTTACATATAACTTGATGTTCATTTTTTAAAAAAGATCTCTCTGTGAATTGTTGAAGATTATCAATGGATATACTACTGAAGTTTAATTATATGGGTTTTTTTCTTCAAATTTCTTTGGAAAAATTTTTTTTTTAATGTATAGTTTAAAACAACTGTTGCTATCCAGCCATTACTACTGCCAGATATCAAAAAGATGTTTATTTTATAATACTACTGATCAAACATATGGGCACTGACATACATGTTAACAGTTTTTCTCACAAGCTCCAATAGTTATTCCTGCCATGTAGTGCTTCCTAATATGGTGGTTAACATCATTCCTCTGTGTTCTCTTGTGTACATTCAGCCCCTTCACACACAATTCTCTTTGCAGTTTCCAACCACAGCCAACTTAAGAATCTCTTGTCTTTTTCTGTGGCATACACATTTGGTTGGCACAATGCTTTGTCAATAGATGCATGAACTAATGATTCTGGCCCAGGATTGTTCTACACATTAATTATGTGGAAAATGCTGTGAACACCGTAAAAGAGGACAAGGTGAAACTTTATGGAAGGTGACTGCTGTGTCTAACACAAGTTTTGAATACAAATATTGTTTCATGTTCCATTCCCTGTTTTAAATCTCTCCAAGTTGCACATCCTTTTTCTGATGAAGGCACTAAGAAGTGACTTGATCACAGGTTTCTAACAGTGCCGTTAATTAAATAGCCTCTCATTGCTCCATGAGAGCATCTTGGCTGATTTTGTCACTGAATTTCTTTCCTTGCCTGTGGAGTTTACCCTGATAATTTAGCAATGACTAGAAATTCTTCAATTTGCTGCACTATCTGATGTATAAATAAAAGCTTTGGACAAGTGTTGCAGGCTAATGATTGAGCTATGTGTGAAGTACAGTTTAATTTTATAATTTACATTTTGATTCTTCCCACCCTTCATTTGTGTTGAAGAATTGAGATAGATCATCAGTTGCAGCAACTAATGGAGGCAAAATGCCACGTCGAGCAGACAAAGGACACTGAACTATTTGTCTATAATTTCAGAAGGAAGTGCACTGCAAAGTGTCATCAGTCAGTCAGAAAGAATGCACATTCCAGATAACTTAACACGCAGAGGTTTGTAGGAAAATTACACAATTGTTTTTGTTGCCTGGTTGCAGTGATAAGACCTAATTATGTGGAGTTTAACATTTTGAGGACTTTAATAACATTTCTATTTGGGGTGGAAAAAAGTCAAAGAACATCAGATGAGATAACCAATTTTGCAAATCCCTTTAGAGTTCTAGGAATGAAATCCCAGACAGATTTTGTAAACTACATGGAAATTGAGCTGATCCAAGGCCAGTGTAGCATTATTGAGCTGTCTTTAAGTCTGTTTTATTACAACTCCGACCTATTTTAAATATGTTTGCTGATCTGTCAGAGATTTTTCAATTATTGTGTTATAAGTGAAATTAATTAAGTTGGTTTTAAAGTGAATGGGTAGGTTGTTGTAATACCATGACATGTTTCAATGATCCCGCAGGAAATAGTCACTTAGTTTTGAATTTTTGTTCATTCTGAGACAGAACATTAAGTGACTACGTGCAATCAGCAAGGCTCTACATAGACTACTTGTGTTGTTACTGTACTTTCTGAAAGTTCAAATTATTTCAGAGGAGCTAGCAACATATTTACCTTTCTTTAACATTTAACAAGTGGCAGTAAGAGTAACGAATGTGCAAGTTAAACCTTTCAAAAGCTATGTTTGTGAATTTAATTGAACTTAGGAAGGGTGTGGCAATTGTATTGCTCCTGCCATAGAAGATTGGCTTAGTTCCCAACTGGCAGCAAGAAGTTCAATGCCAGATTTTGGCTGAACTCGACAATAATGTTTTTCTGTTTCCAACTGAGCTACTAGATAGGAGTTTTATATGATCATAAGTGTGTCAGTAAACCGGACTGGTCATACTTTCTTTTAAAAACAAAGAATATATTCCTGGTACACTTTTGCATATTAAAACAAAAAATAGTGTACTTATTACTGTTTGAAACCCACTTTACCAGTGTTCAACTGAATGCTTTTAAAATATAAAAATTATTTAATCAAAACGCAATGAAACTGGTAGATATTGGGTCTTAATTCACATGGTGCAAAAGTGGGCAAGGTGATAGTTGCATATTGTCCTTGCATAAATTAGGATAATAAGTTAATAAATTCCAATTTTTTTTAATTTAAAAAGAAACACATGCCTTCAAAATAAAACTCCAATTTAAAAGTACAATGAATATGTGCAATTAGTCTTTAACCAACCTTGGGAAATCTCCAAAGGATGCGGAAGCCAAGTCAAACACTGCTCTGCCATAAGCAGTTTTTGTTTTATTGTTTGAGACGTGGTGGACAAGCTTTAGATGCAGTTTTTATTGAAATTAGACTGTGCCCAATTGTTTACCAACACCACTTTCCAAATAAGTAAGTTCAAAATGACCAATCAGTTAGTGACTCTCAAAACTGACATTGTGCTCTTGACTCAAATTGAATAAAGCTTCAGAGCATTTTTTATTTTTTGTTAACTTTAACACTTAAGTACACAATTCCAACAACTTGCTTCTGACACATCACCTACAATATTTTTAAAAAAGTTCAAAAGCCCTTTGAAATATATTTCCTATTGTGATGATACTATGGCTTTAAGAGGTGTATTTTGTCCTTTTTTTTTATGAAGGTTGAAACAGAGGTGAGCAGCAGTCTGCTGAAAGCCAGTAAAGTGAACAGCTTGAGGCCTTGGGTTTTTTTAAAGTTGGAACAATAGAAGTTGCCTGAATGCGTAGGGTCAAACCTCCACAAAACCAAGATTTCTAGTTCTGGCTTTCTGCAGTTGCTGGGATCTTGAAGCTGGATGTTGAACCTCTTATTCCTGTCTCTGTAACAGCTAAAAGTTGGGATTCTCTTCCTGCTGCTAAAATTGCATGTGAGACAATCAATTTTACTGAATTTGCCTTTACCAAGGGTGTGTTTAAGGGATGTTTATTATATTGGAACAGTTAATTAGTAGTCATTAATGTATGTATATTTTTTAAGCACTTTAATTTTGTCTGTATTTTAACTGTGTAGTAAAAAATAAAGTGTGTTTTGCTTAAAATCAAGTAGTTTGACCAACTGAATTGCATCTGGAATGCAATGCTTTATACTCGCCTTTTAAAATAAGAGAAAGTTAGGGTACAGGCTATCATAAAATATTTTGAGGGGGTTTGGTCTAGTCCATTGCTGTAATCTGGCATGCAATCAGGATAGCTAGGTTGAAAAGAGTTAGTGAAAGTTTCACAAAATATTTATCTAGGTTTTAAGGAAGAAGTTATAGGGAGAGATATTAAGAGGGTGTCTCAGTGAATAGAGCTGTGTTCAGCAGCGGGAAGGGAAAAGAACAGAAGACCAGGCTCAGGATTAGAATGATCAGGAGGGAAAAGGTTCCAAGTCAGGATAGTGTGTAGCGTGAAGGGAAGCTTGCAGATGATGTCCCTCTACACCTGCTGTCACCTTGTACTTCTAGTTGGTAGAGGTCTCCAGTTTGGAAAGTTGGAGGAGCCTAGATGAGTTGTTGCAGTGCAATTTGTAGATGGTATGCACTGCTACCACTGTTTCATCAGTGTTAGAAAGTGAATGTTGAAGGTGTTAGATGTGATCCTGATCAAGCCATCTGCTTTTTCCTGGATGCTGACGAGTTATTAAGTGTTGTTGAAGCTGGTCTTAGCAAATGGAAACTATTCCATCTCACTCTTGACTTGGGGGAGACAGGAGGTGAGCTGCTGTCTGCAGGATTCCCAACCTCTGACAACAATTTGGGACAGTGACTGGGAATGGAGGTAGAAGTTGCAGCTGCCCAGAAGTTAGAAAGCAAGCTCTTACAGTTAATTTTCAAAACTGGGATCGAAGTGAATGGTCCCAGTGAACCTATATTCTCAGATATTGCCAGGAGTAAAACAGCCATTTGTGCCACCAGTTACTGAGTTCTTTAAATTGCTATTTAACTAAGTGTCACATCAACAGTTGGACTTTGGTATCAAATCAGTTTGCTTCCTGCTTTCGTGAGGTTTTCTGATCAGCTGTGATCTAATTTTCATCAGATGGGCCTCTTGCCAATCAAATCATCTGGGAGTGTGGGTGTGGAGCATTTAAAGGAAGGAGGTACCATAATAAAACCTCGCGGAAATCTGTCCAACAAGAGTCTGTGACCCTTGTCATGCCTGTGTTCGTCCATTTAAAACGCTGCAATGTCACTGTGGAGGGGGGTGAATTGGATTAGACAGAAGCTTCTCACCGAGAGTTGGGATGAATTGAGCAACTGTTAATGATGATTGCACCAGCATCAATGTGTGGGAGCAAATTTTGGGGAGAGGTGTTGAAAGGAGAAGGGAAAAAGACACACATGATTACACAATCCTGAATGGTTAGGAGGCCTCTCCATTGAATCGTGTACCATTTTTTAATACCAATGAGTAGGTTCAATGGACCTGCCTGGATTAAGGAAATATTAGACAGTGAATTATCATTACAAAGAGTGAGGGAGCTTTTAAAACCCATGAAACTGGTACCTGACAACCAGATGGGCAAGACCTGACAAGTCTGGATTCTGTTATGTCTCCTAATCGTTATTACTTCATGAAATGTATAGAAGGTTTGTTTGTTTTTTTTTCTTGTTTTGGATTAATAATATCTTTATGTCTGAGCAAGTGAGAGTTATGTGGTGATATTAATATCGTAAAAAAGGAAAATGTAATGACCAGGCAGCAGTGAGTGTGCACATATCTGACATCAGTTTATGAACAATAGACTTGGAAAGTAATGTTGATTCGTACCAAGCCCTGCCAAAACGTCTCCTCTTGTGCCTATTTTTGCAGCACAGACTGGTGCAAGTTTGGTGTCGTCACCATCACCATCATCATTTGTCACAATGTTAGAAATAGTTTGTGAATTTGAGGTCAGGGCCGCACTGGTCTTGATGACTGATACCTCAACTTAAAATTACACTGACAATGAAAGTCTGGAAACAATGTATGCAATTCTGGTGTTGATATCAGTCATCCTGATCAACATTTATTATGTTCTTTGCGCTATATTTGTTAAATAAAATGCTGAATTTTAGTGGATTGCTTAAATGGACACATTCAAGAGGTGTTGTAGCGTGCTTTGAGTCTGTTTGATGATTACACTGAAGATGGGACAGAAGAAATCTAGCTTATGAAGTTGTTGTTTCTGAAGACGCATCAGCTCGTGTACAATATTCTTTCTCTGGTTTTCTCTTCTCTCCTCTTCTGCTGGAAAGCTGTTCTTCGAGCAGCCACTCTGTGACATTGTGGTGTTAAATTCTTAAAGTGTAATCATGGGCAGAGAGAAGGGCTTACTGGTCTCAGAAGGGGAAAATCACAACCAGGCCTTGGGCTTACTGTATCCTGCTATTGACCCATGAGCATCTTTTGAAGCAGGTATCACTGTTACCTGATCAGGAGTAGGAATCATGGTACAGTATGTTTTTTTCCTTCTGTGGACAATGTCATCAATTGTAACACCCATCAGATGGCTGTGACTGAAATGAATGAACTGAACATGCTCCTCAAACACTGGATCTTCCTGCTTCAGTTCAATTCTTCTGTGTTCTATCTATTTATGATAGGTTTCTCTGCAGATTCAATCGGCAGGCAGAAACAATAAGGAATTTGTGACAACTGATTATCTTATGTTTGTTCTTTATTCAAGGTGTTGTCCGGCTTTCTGGAATGCCCCCTCTGTTTAGTGCGTCATCCGCAGGAGAATGTGCCCGAAATTATGACATGCCACCACCGTTCCTGCCTTGACTGTTTGCGCCAGTACCTGCGCATCGAAATCACAGAGAGCCGCGTGAATATCAGCTGCCCTGAGTGCTCGGAGCGGCTAAATCCGTATGATATCCGGATGATACTGAATGATCAGGCGCTGATGGAGAAATATGAGGAGTTTATGTTACGTCGGTACCTGGCTTCTGACCCAGACTGTCGATGGTGTCCAGCCCCAGACTGTGGGTATGTGTGTGTTCCTGTTTAAAAAAGACAATCTGTTTACTGACCGTATAATTTAATTGCTGCAATTGATAGATAGGTGTTCAAACTCATTGAAGGTGGCTAGACAGACTAGATAAGGAGAAACTGTTTCCATTGGGAGTACCAAGAACCAGTTTCAAAGTGATTGGCAGAAAAACTAGAGGTGAAATGAGGAGAACCCTCTTTTTTACACAATGTGTCTAGGATCTGGAATACCATGCCAGAGAATGTGGAAGTGGCAGATTCAATTCTGCTTTCCAAAGAGAATTGGATAATTACCTAAAGAGAGAAGATTTTGCTGGAGGTACAGTGAGTCCTCTGGAGGGTGCGCGAGAATGATACCAGAAAAGAAGTTATAATTATGAGGAAAGCTTTTAAAAAAAATTGGAACTTTTCTAACTGGAACCAGGGAATCTAACAGATTTAGAGAATCATGGAAACTTTTTAAGGGTAAATAACAAAAGATTGGCACCAGTTGGTGAACCAGCAGCAAGGGACATAAACTTTGAAAAGTTTTTGAATTCTATTTCTCAAAGATTGTTATTAACTGTTATTGGGAAAGTTCATTATAAAACTCAAAGTGAAATCATAGCAGACAGCATGGAATGGCCAGTATGTTACAGAATAAGTAATTAATTTGTTAGTGTTTGGCTTCTTTTAGTGGGTAGTGATTGTGTTTACAATTAGTTTACAATTAAAGTAGTAATAAAGCATATGGAATTAAAATTTATCTATAAATAAACTTTATAACTAGTAACCAGGTGAGACTGTCAAGCTCTCAGATAAGGAAGAATAAACTTGTTTTCCTCCTTAATCGGATCACCCCCCCCTTAGTTGGTCGCAACAAGGTTAATTCAAAATGGATCTTGTCTCTTGCACATACCTTGTTTCCAAGCCAAAGGAATTTCTGTTTTGAAAGGACCCAATTTAACCAGGCTTTCTTGAGTTAACAAAAGAGTAAGTGTATTAGTTATGAGCATGAGAAGAAATAATAACGCAACATGCATACACACAGATTGGTAATAAGAAGTGAGTTCAAGCAAAAACATTTAAGGTTTAAAACAAAAAGTGGGTCGCTCTGAGTAGTTTGTGAAGAGTAGTTGGAAAGTCATTGCAATGGTTTTTACTGGTAGTGTTGATGTTGGTAGTTGAATAGTAAATTTTGTGATTCTTGGCTTTGCAGATCAATTGAAATTCTTTCGTCCTGGTTTCTTTCAACAGTTTCTTGCTGGCAGCACTGAGAGTGATAGACTCTTTGACCCTTCCTTTCTTCACCGATAGGGTAGGGATGTTTAATGGCTCTTCCCAAAGCTGCGACCTTCATAGCACACTAATTTACACTAAGATGTTAGGCCACTAACATGCACACATCAGGGTTGAAGCTCACTTTTAACCCAGAGTCCTTGGCAAATCTAGTAATGGGTAAAATGGCAGAAGGTCAGTGGGTGATGTTTAAAAAAAATTAACATCTCTCAGAACTGTTTATATCCCTGGGGAGGGGCTCTCTTTTCCAAGAGGGAAAAAAAACCATGGATGACAAAAAAAAAGTTAAAAGTATGTAAAAATAAGAAAAAGTATTGTCAAGTGGGAAATATAAAGAACAGCAAACGGTGAAAAATTGGATGATGAGGGCTACTAACAGACTATATGGAAGAAACTTGTCAGAGCTATCAAAATCCATGTAAACTTCTACAATTAATTTAGGTAGAAGAGGGTGGTTAGGAATAAGGTGGACCCTTTTAAAAAGTTGTGGTTGCAGGGATGTTAATTGATTACATTTCATCTGTATTTACAAAAGAAGACATTCCAAGGAATTAGAGACAATGTGGCTCAAACTAC